ACACTTATACAAATGAGCATATGTAACTTTAAAAAAAGAGCATATGTAACTTACAAGATGAGCATCGATATGCAAATTCTAAGTTTTGTTCGTTGAACATTTTACATGCGCATTGATATGACATTTTACATATGAGCATAAAATTAGTACTAAATGAGCACGTGTAACTTACACAATGCTCATTGATAAGAAAATCGTGTTAATTGAACATCACGACATTTTCATTGAGCATCAAACCTCCTCTATTGAGATGATAATCACGATTTTTGTTAAATGAGAACTAATGAACTTTTACTGAGCAACGAACCAAATCTGTTGAGTATTAGGAGTCTGATATTGAGTATCATGATCTCTGCTTTATGTCTTATAATTCACTTTCTTTCTTTTTTTCTAAAAAATATTAAATTATATCTATAATAAACTCCTATGAAATTTCAATATGTGAATATAGTATAATATGATAATTTTGAAATATGCATTGATATGAAATTTTACAAATGAGCATAAATGAGTACAATTTGAGCATATATAACTTACAAAATGAGCATTGATATGAAAATCATAAGTTTTTTAATTGAGCATCAAGACATTTTCAATGAGCATCAGATCTGTTCTATTGAATATTAAAAACATGCAATTGAGTATCGTGGTCTGTGCTCGATAAAGTACCTGTAATCAATTCCTATGTAAATCTTATGTGATACAATGCAAATCACGACTTCTGTTAAATTAGCATTAATGAATGTTTAATGAGCATCAAAACTATACAAATGAGCATATGTAACTTAAAAGATGAACATTAACATAAAAATTTTAAGTTTTCTTCATTGAGCATCAAGACATTTTTAATGAGCATCAAACCTCCGTTATTGAGTATTAGAATCGTGCGATTGAGTATCATGATTTGTGATCTCCTGTCTATAATCAACTTCTATGTGAATCTAATGTAATATTAGACTTTTGAAATATGCATTAATATAACATTTTAAAATGGACATAAAAACTAGTACTAAACGAGCATACATAACTTACCAAATGAGCAATTATATGAAAATCATAAGTTTTGTTAGTTGAGCATCGAAAATTTCTAATAAACATCAAACCTCTTCTATATAGTATCAGAATCATTCAATTATGTATTATGATTTCTGCTCACATGTATGTAATCTAACTCTTATGCGAATCTAATATAATACTTTTGTAATATGCATTAATATAACATTTTAAAATGAGCATAAAACCAGTATCATATGAACATACATAACTTACAAAATGAGCATCACAAAATTCAAAAGCTCGTTTGAATTCTCTAATGTGTTTAAATGTTCATTTGTGCACATATATTACAATGACAAATATAGTAATGACAATATACTAATTTTATATTAAAAGTAATTTATAGTCCTTCATTATGTAATTAAAAATATAATCGGATTCTTTTTATCATGTTCACTCATGCATATTTATTTTACACAATACTTATTTTAGTATAACACAAAATTCATGTTAGTAATTAGCACATAATATTTAATAATCAATAAATATTCATCATAAATTAAAAATAAAAAACATTAATACCTTAAATCTTCATCATAAATTAAAATCAATGGAAAAGATGGTTAAAAAAAGGTAAAAGAAAAAAAATGAAGTACGTAGAAACTAGAAAGCAAAAAGCAGGAGGTTAAGAAAAAGAAGGCGGATGAAGGGCACTACACAAAAAGCTATTCATCATGCCTGACCGCATCTCCATAAAAGCTGGGCCGCATCTCCATAAAAGCAGGACCTGTAGTCCACATACGGAGGGAGCCGAGAAAGAATACCGATGAAAGTACAAAGAATTACAAAAATACCCGGATGTACAGTACATCCGGGTGTATGATATAATTTACGTCTAACTTATATTTGCAACCGCCTCTGCTTTAAAATAAGTGTTTTTTTAATGAAATTAAAAGAAATGATTAAATAAAAGTTAATAGTGTTTGAGAAAAAGGTAATTTTAAAAAGCAAAAATTTGTAGTGTTTGGTAAAGTAAGTGTTTTTTGTGTAAAAGAAAATGTAAACGCACTTTTGACATGAAAGCCGGAAAAAAGGATTAAGTTGTTTTATCGTCAGTGAAAGTCGTATGGGAGTGTGGGACGGGGGAGAAATTAATTAATTGATGATGATGATGATGATGGTGATGATGGTGGTGGTGGTGATGAGTGATGAGTGATGATGATGACGATGATGATGACGACGACGACGACGACGACGATGATGATGGTGGTGATAGACTATTAGTTGTACTACCAATAGAAATAAAAATTACGGAATATAGAATTACCAGCTACTACTCATCATTTATTACTCTACTACTTAAAATATATTTTATTAAATGTATTAGTAATAGGTATCCATGATTTATTAATAACTAAATTATTTTAGAATAATTGATTGTATGATTTTACAATATAATCTATAACTACATAGCTATTAAGTATTAGTTGGAACAATCAAGATCAATGTTGATAGAGCTACTGATGACCGTCACGGAATATGAGCCTGAGGATGAATTGCAAAAGACCATAATGGTGAGTTTATTCAAGGTGGATGGGAATCTCACATAGCGGACTGGTCGGCAAGCATTACAGATGCACCTGGTGTTTGAGAGGCACACACATGGGCGAAGAATCAATGATGGAATCAGGTCGTGATAGAGACATGTGTTCAACTGATCACGACAAGGTTGGAGGAAAGTTCAAGATTTTCTTATCTAGATACTATAATTGATGATAGTAGTCACATTCTTCAGAATGAAGCTATGTTTGTTGTCTAATTGTGTATAGGATCCGCGAATCACATGGGCCACACGATTGCTTGATTCCCACACGATTGCTTTCTCTTTTTAGTCGCCGTCCTCCGGATGAGTTATGCCTATTGCCAAATATCTATCCACGAGTGATAGTTTGCCACGTAAACCCTAGGAATATCCTGGCCTCACTAGAACTTCACCCAGGCTCGAGGTCTGCTGTCCAGCCCGGCCTGGTGGCGGGTTCCTATCGTGGGCCTCATTCCTAATGGGCTAAGCGGCTTTCAACCATGAATCCCGTTTATGGGTTGATCCTGTAGTTAGGTTGGTCCCGTTGAGGGCTGATCCCGTTTATGGGCTAATCCTGTAATAGGCTGGTCCCGTTGAGGGCCGTTCCCGTTTACGGGCTGGACTACGTAATTGGGCCATGGTCTTAACCCATGGTACCATCAGACTTATTTGACTCTCTTTATGCAACTTCAAGTACCAATCTGACCCTTACCTCGTTGTTAAATTATGTATTTCGTATATATTATTTGAATTATCAAAACCCCTACTTTTTTCATATGGAAATATATTTTCCTATAATACTCATACTAGTTAAGGAGTACGGAGCATTACCTAAAAAAAGTTCAAGCCCAACAAAGAAGTCGTTCTCTTCACCTGATCTAAATGTTTCTGATATGAATTTATTCAGTTCTGATCTGACCTGATATGAATTTTTCTGACCTGATCTGAATTTTTCTGATATGATCTGAATCTTTCTGATCTGATTTGAATCCTTCTGATCAGATCTGAATCTTTATGATCCAATCTGATTTGAATATTTCTATAATTATAATTATAATTATTATAATTATAATTTTATATTTTAAAATTATTTAAATATAATTATAATTAGGGTGAATTTGACTTTACACCCCACTTTTGGGATGATATTGGACTTTTCGCCCCATTTTGAAAAAGCTTTGACTTTGCACCCTATTCCACTTCAAAATCATTTGACTTTGCACCCCATTTAGAAAATTTTCTTCACAAAGTATTATGTGTTGGGACGCAAAATCAAAGTTTTTTCAAATTGGGGTGCAAAGTCCAATATCACCCAAAAAGTGGGGTGCAAACTCAAATTCTCCCTTATAATTATAGTCATAATTTTAAAAAATTATAATTATAATCATAATTATAATTAAAATTAAAGTTATAATAATTATACCTATTATACTAATTATATAATTATATTTATAGCTATAGTTATAATTGCAATTATATTTTTAATTATAATTATTTCTATAATTGTAATAATAATTATAATTACTCCGTATGATAATAAAAATAATAATAAATAATAATAATAAAATAATACTAATAAAGATAATAAAAATAAGAGAAAAGGGTCAAATAAGGCCTTCTACTCTTATGAAATCGTCACATAAGGCCATGTACCCAATAAAGTATCATATAAATGTGTCTACTTGTAAAAAACAATCAAATAAGTCCTAACGACCTATTTACAACCTCCTAATCTGATCTGAATGCTTCTGATCTGATCTGAATTTTCTGATCTGATCTGATCTGATCTAAATCTTTCTGATCTGATATGAATCTTTCTGATCTGATCTGAATTTTTCTAATCTGATTTGAATAAAATAGGGATAAGGGTCAGATAGGGCCTCGAACTTGAAAAAAAATGTCAAATAAGGCCATATTTAGGATGCTCTGTCCGGCCGACGCCATTTGGGGTGGTTCCCGGTGGAATTTTTTGATGAATTTTTTTGAGAATCTTATTCATTAAGTCTAGCTTACTGATATCAAATTTGAACTAAAACTTCAATCGGGAATGCATTCAAATGATTCTTGAAGATAACTGTGCAGTTAAAAACGCAGTTATCTTCAAGAATTCATTTGTATGCCTTCCTGATTGAATTCTTAGTTCAAATTTGATATGAGTAAACTTTCATTTGTATGCCTTCCTGATTGAATTCTTAGTTCAAATTTGATATGAGTAAACTAGACTTAATGAATAAGATTCTGAAAAAATTTCATCAAAAATATCCACTAGGAAGCGCCCCAAATGGCGTCATCCGGACATAGCATCCTAAATATGACCTTATTTGACATTTTTTTCCAAGTTCGAGACCCTATCTGACCCTTATCCCAATAAAATAATAAAATAAGATTAAGTAATAAGAATGGGATGAATCTAACTTCAAAGTGTACTTCCTATATTTTGCTCGTTCTCTCATTCCCCTTCCCGAAGGAGCTCTTCCCGCCTGCAGGGGGGCGTTAGTTGCGCGTTCTAACTCAGACTAACAGGAAGCGGGGCTACACTTTGAGGTGTAACGCCTCCCTCGTTCTGTTCGGGCAGTGTTAAGATGGCGCCATCAACCTCCAACTCACACGCTAAAGCATTACTTAAACTGGAAGATGAGATTGAAGGGGATCGAATCGGCTCCCGCGACTATCGCTTTTCCGGAATTGGAGTGCCGGTCCCTATTAAATCCGGCGGCAGTGCTCCATATGACACTGAGAACGAAATTCCTCCACTGCAGCCTCTTGCTGTCTCAGAACGCTCTGGCCTCATCTTCGTAGCCCATTCGGACGGTCTGTATTGACGTCTTTCTCGATACACACACGCACACCTTTTTTTCTGGTTCACTAACTGTTTTATTGCATTCCGGTTTAGGGTTTTGTGTTGCGAGGACGCATGATGTTTTGGGGTCAGCCCAAGAGCTTAAAGAAAAGAATGCTGGACTCTCTGTTCAGGACATCTGTGTTGTGGACATATCTATTGGAAAGGTTTCCATATTGGCCTTATCCGGGGATGACTCACTGCTTGCTGTTACTGTCGGTACTAAAGTCCACTTCTTTCCCGTTAGTACCCTACTCCATAAGGTATATGTTAGTTATCATTATTTATGTAGTCGTATTTTTTATATTTTTTATTTTATAATAACTTTGTTTACTTACTTTAATACTGTGTCTACCTTAAAAATGACCTTTTAATGTCCACTTTCTTTTTCTTATATGTATAATACTATAGGAGCAAAACCCATCCTTTTCATTTTCAATCGACGATTCAAGTTTTATCAGAGACATGCAATGGGCTAAACATGAGGAGAAGATTTATCTTGTTCTTTCCAGTGTAGGGAAACTGTATTGTGGACATGGTCAAAATCATGCTAATTATGTAATGGACAATGTTGATGCTGGTAAGTTGGTGATTGGAATGAGGCGTATGAAGAATGGAATTGCATTCTTATAAATGTATTCTTCATTCTGTGGCCAATGTAGGTCAGAGTCGAGCGCAAATTAAATCTGAAAGTCCAAACTATGTCCCAATGGCGGATGTGTTAAATACCCCTTTTTCATAAGTATAATTTTCTCTGGGCACATAAAAATTACCACATTAATTTTTAACATGTATTTATGTAATATTTTAATAGTAAAATATTTTTGAACACCCAAAATTTAGTAGCAAGATCCACCACTGCTAGTCTGTCCCCTTGATTTAAAATAATATGAAAAGAATTTATTCAATTGAACTTAGAAGATAAGATACCCACTGAACACTCAAAAAAGGCTCCTACTGCAAATATTCTGTAACTCTATAAACTATTCGTGCCCAGAGAAAATTATACTTAAAAGCTATGATTGATTTCCTTAAAATTCAATTCTATATGGTCGCCCTTGTAGGCTTAAATAGTGATTGAAAAATGAGTGCATCTTTATGTCACGAAGATCTAATAACTCTCTACTTTCATTTTATTTTACTTGTCCACATTGGTTGTGTGCATGCCTCTGTTGATTTAACTGTAGTTCTTTGATTTGTTCCTTGCTTCCAGTACCTGTAACTTCATAGTTTTATGACAGTTGGATGGAGTGCCAATGGTAACAGTGTTGCTGTCGTGAGGAACAATACCATCAGTATTCTTTCGTCACAGTTCGAGGAAAAGCTAAGCTTGGTGCCATCATTCAAGTTAATACTTAATGACTCTGATGCTGGATCTGTAATTAAAGGTATTCCATATTCAATTATAATCATCGAATCACAGGTCTTATGCTTGTTTGTTTTAGAAATGAAAAAATGACATAAATACGAATTACCGACTTCGGGAAGACAAAAAATGTGACTAACCTTAAGGTTTGAATAAATCCAAGTTCTTCTACTTACAACCCCTACCCAACTGCCCACACCCACCACTGGGAAATATATTCAGAATGTTTTCAAAAATCCGGCAGGAAAAGTAGCCAGAAAAGTAGCCGGAAAGTGCCGTTGGTGCCCACCACTGGAATGTTTTTCCGTTTTTTAAAGTCACCGAGAAAAGTTATTGGAATATGTTAGTAGTGGAATGTTTGACGTCGGCACTGACACCGGTCATTGACAATGACATATTAAATTGGCAGTGACATAAAAATACTAATGACATGCGTAGAGCATGAATGTAGTCCCATTTTTTCGTTTTTAGCCCGTCTCACTAAGATGGTTCCATACCAAATTTGGTAATGTTGTGTGGTTGTGAATCGATCGTACTGCATTATTACTATATCAATTCAATACCAACCACACAAACTCACTTTTCTTAATAACCGCACAACTTTCTCATGTACTGAACTTCGGGGGACAGATGTAGTAGTATTTATGGAAAAATCCATTTAGAAATATGAGATGACCGTAGTTCTATATGCTTCCCATTGCAATACAGGTAGATTAGATGAGTTTAATAGGGACACAAGGGTTATAGAGGATGCTTCTCTCTTTGAGTCTACAATATTTGAGTTTTTGATGCCAAGTTCCTTTGAGTCTCGTGAATATACATAGTATATGCACACAAGGTTGTGTGTATGCTTGTGCCTTGTGTATATACTTCTGAGTGTGTTTCACTGTTTGTCTGTGCTTGTGTTTATACTTATTCAGTAGAAAGGCATTAGTGGATCATAAATTTGACATTGTGTTCCTTCTCGTGCTATGCATATTAGTACATTGAAACTTGTGCCTTTAATTGGTCTGCGTCAATTTTATTGTTTTCTAATTCTGGATGGTTTAATAAATTTTTAATTAGAATGTGCTTTTATGCTAAACTATGCTGTTTGAAATTAGTGGATGCTGTGAGATGGGTTCGTCCAGATAGCATTGTGCTAGGATGCATTTACATAAACGACAATGGTGAGGAAACCTATGCCTTGCAAATTATCACATGCAAGAATGGTGAAATTGATAATGTGAGTAAAGATTTCCATCAGTTTTATTTAATTTGAAGAGAGTGATGTTTGAAATTAGTGTATCATTTCCCCCCTTGACAAAATGTTATTAAGATGTTAATTTATTTATGTATACCTACTTTTAAGAAGCATTTATGTACTTCTGTCACTTGCTTCTTGGTTTAAAATGCAAAATGGTTAAAACAAACCTGAGAAAATCTGATGGACTATGTTCTTTTTTGCTATCTAGTTTATTTAATCACTGTATGCAACAGTTGGTTTAGCCATTGAGCTCAGATCACCTTTGCATGAGTATAAATGTACTTTCAATCCTATTGGGGTGTTGATAAAAATGACAATATAAGGTCATCTAGTTATACTCATTTGGCAATTAGTTGAGGAATTGAGGTGTCAGCTAAATGACATCACCCAGTCTGATTTCTATACTGACAGCATGTGGCGGTACACATCGTCATGTTTAATAATCAGATGCTCTTGCTGAGTTGAATTACTAATACCGAGATAGAAAACCCTGATCTACTCTACCTTCTATTGGTCCAAGAGACATGACATATAGTTTTTCTCCTTTTTGCAACTTCAATATTCAGTATATGTCTTCAAAGTTCTAATGTCCCTCTAATTTAGAGTTAAGGGTCGGATTGGTACTCGAAGTTGCATAAAAAGGGTCAAATAAGTCCTTATATAGGAGGCTCTGTCCGGCCATCGCCATTTGGGGCGGTTCCCGGTGGAATTGTTTGACGAAATTTTTTGAGCATCTTATTCATTAAGTCTAGTTTACTCATACCAAATTTCAGCTAAGAATTCAACCAGGAAGGCATTCAAATGAATTCTTGAAGATAACTGTGTAGTTAAAAGCGCATTTATCTTCAAGAGTTCATTTGAATGTCTTCCCGATTGAAGTTTTAGCTGAAATTTGGTATGGGTAAACTAGACTTAATGAATAAGATGTTCAAAAAATTTCATCAAAAAATTCCACCGGGAACCCCCCAAATGGGGACGGCCGGACAATAAGGACTTATTTAACCCTTTTTATGCAACTTCGAGTACCAATCTGACCCTTACCTCAATTTATCCCTCTGATTTTTTTCACATTTTAAAATGATATAGTGGAAAAAGTATCATATTTTCTTCCCACTAATTTTGATTGATCTTATCTATTCTTGGACGATTTTGCTTGCACAAAAAATCATGCATTGTACATTTGTGCTAAAACTTGTGTCACATTTTCTTCTTTCAGGACTCTTCTAAGCCAGTTATTCAGTCCTTCACAGATGTCTTTGCAGATTTCCGTTCTGATGTTGTTCCTTTGGCTAGTGGACCTCACCTCTTTTTCAGCTACTTAGATAATCAGTATGTATCAACCCTTATCATTTTCTGAACTTAAGTTCTCTTCTCGAGCTTTTTATATACCGGAAATCGCCTGTATTGAATATTGATATTAAAAAATCATAAACCTTACATCAGTCTTCATGCCACTAACCTTTCTCACACTAGATTGACTAGACTCAAACTCTGAAGGTCCTCTCAGGCTCTCACCCTATGATCAGGCATAGAATAGATCGCCTTAAATTAAGCAGATCGTTTCACTAACCATATGACAGCTTTTATACTTCTAACATGATGAAACCTAATCATCCCAAAGCTAACATAGATCTTCACACCCGGAGATACATAATGAAAAATAAACTGAATAACAATAGAGTGCAAAATAAAATGTGAGTTAAGTCTAAAATAATAAAAAATAATAAACCAATGTCCTCCCTAAGATGACAACTTGCACATCTTACCCTGACAACCAACTTCCTCATTCCCCATCAATCTATGCGAGCCAACCCGTCCCGGCTCGCCGTTCCCCTTCATTCTTTGGACCGCTCATCGCTATTTCCAATTCTTCGGTGTAGCTCAATCTAGAATCTCCACTTTTCAAATTACAGATGTATCTTACTTGGTACGTATCTTACTTGGTACTCCTCTGCAGTGCTTCCTCGTAGCACACATTCTGGGGGAATCACTGCCTCCATCTCCATAAGGTTCTCCTTACGTCTTGCAATTGCTGTACCAGTGGCCCAACAAGCCGTGCAAACAAGGATACCGGCTGTCCGGCTTTAGTAGTGCAAACAAGGATACCGGCTGTCCGGATTTAGTAGTGCAAACAAGAAACCGTGCTCTCTCCAAAGCTACTCTCATCAAACCCAAGAAGAAACATATTAGTTCTGGTTCATCTGATCCAAGCCTGTTTGGGTCTTCCTTTCCCTCTCCTCCCCGCATCTTCTCCCCACCTCTCAATTCATCTAACTGGTGCATCACTCAGTCTTCTACGCACATGACCAAACCACTGCAATCAAGACTCCTGTATCTTATCATCTTATCTTTTATCTACTCCCACCTTTTGTCTGATTATCTCATTCCTCAAGCGGTCTTTTCTGATATGTCCACACATCCAACGCAACATATGCACCTCTGCCACACTCTTCTTTTGAATGTGACATTGTTTCACAGTCTAATTGATGTCCGATAAAATTACCATTAAGTCTAGTCAGCATACCTCGATCACATAGAAATCCTCTTCCACTAGTGACATATGACCAGCTGGTATTGTATAATTGACTATTTGTATCGCCAGATGACACATGCCTTCTGTTACGAAACATATCTTTCTTCAGTAGTATTCTATTTTTTCAATATAACGAAGGCTGCTATATACGTTGTCCAACTGTGTTGTTCATTTAGTCCTTACTTGGTTATGCAGTGGGATTGCATTCGTTGCAAATAGAAAAAACTTGGATCAGCATATTTTATTGTTTGGCTGGTCGATAGGTGATGGAACGAATAAAAGTGCAATGATTGAAATGCTGGAGGATAGATGGTCTCCAGAAATTATTCACTTAGGTGATCATATTTCCATTCAGATTAGCATTATATCATTCAATTGTTTTCTTCTGTCATATTCAGATTGGATTATTTATTTACTTCTCTCCTTGCCTTGCCTCTTCCCAACTTGCTCTATTCTAAACATTAAAGTATAGTACGAATTAGGAAGTAAGGAGTGAATTGCCACTGAACGTTTTTTTTTGGGATTTACGTTGATCATTAAAATTAATAATAGCTTTTGATATGATACTTTGGATAAGTGAAAGTCTATAACAGTCTAGTGTAGACTGTAGTATCATTTCCTTGTACTTGACTTATGTGAGGATATCATAAAAAAGTTTGGTTTTATACTGCAAGGGCTCCATTCGATGTTATTTAGATTATAAGGATATGAAATCCCTCTCTTTTCACTCGTAATTTGCGCTGATATTTTCATGTTGCACTACTGGATTCTAAACTTCTGATTACGTAAGTACATTATAATCCCAAACATTAGGGATGGTGAACAAAAGTGTAAGTTGCGAGGAAGAAGTATGAATGTGCAACATGCAATCAAGTTTGCGGTAAAAAACTGTTTTTTAAATCTATAAAACTCGATTGACTTGTGAGCTCTAAATGTTGACAAGTGTTTTGGTGAACAAAGTGGAATTTATGGCCTTGATTGGGACGTTGAATTTTGAATAAGAAATTCTATTACTGCTCATTTCATAGTGTTAGATTGAGAAGGTTGAAAATCTTGCTATAACAACAAAGTTTTAGTATTGGTGAAAATATTATTACCTTAGTTTATAGAAATATCAATGGTGAAGGGGTGGACATATCGGTTTGGTTTAACCGAACCGAATTGTACCAAACCGAACTAAACCAAACCGAAACCGGACCGTATGCAATTCGGTTTGAGTTTGGTAGTATTTCTTCCAAACCGTATTAAACCGAAACCGATAAAAACTGAACAAAACCGAACTGAACTAAAGAAATTCAAAAAACCTTCATATATTATTAAAATATAACAAATCCAAACCGAACCAAACCGAAAAATAGTATGATTTTTGTTTGGTAATAATTCGCCAACCCGTTCCAAACCGAACTGAACTGAAACCGATAAAAACCGAACCAAAAACCGATATGCCCACCCCAATTTTATGTTGTCATTGACATGAATATTGGTAGACTAAAATGATAATACAAAATATGAGTTTTCGATCAATAATGAAGATTCCTATTATGGTATCATGACCTCCAAAAATAAAAAATATTGCACAGACATCGACGAATACCAGAGATATTGCGCAGTCACGAACCGCTTCTCCCAATTCGCAGTCGCGAACCGCTTCTCCCAGTTCACAGGTCACAGGTGTCATCGCTAGCTGATTATCACAGTTCGCAGGTTTTGTCTCTATTAGATTCGTGTCGACGTGAGCACTTTCTCACAGTTCTAGCTCGATGATGTATTGACGTTACCACACAGCCATCCCCAACCAGAGACCACACCAAAACGAAAGGAAGATCGATTTTCTAGTTCTCAAGGGGATGATGCGTATGGATGGATTATCTGGGTGGAGATGTTTTCAAGCTGAACCGGGTGACAGATGAGGAGAAGAGGGAGTTTACTGTGATCACAATGAAAGAGAAAGCACTGAATGGGTTTCAATGGGGGAAGGAGCAATATTTATTCGTAGCTGGGAACCTCTGAAGGAGGCAGTGATCAGAAGGTTTCCACCAGAATGGATTCAAAATTCATTCGGACTTATGCTCAGCATTGAATGGGTTGGCACAATATTGAAGTACAAGGATCAATTCAAACTCATGGCAGCTTCCCTGAGGCACACCGATGCAGATAGGTTAAAAGGAATTAATATAAATTGCTTAATGAAAGAGATTAAAGCAGAGTTGTAACTCTATCACTATGGTTCCTTGTCTAAATTCGTGGATAAGGCCCTGTTGTTGGAATAGAAGAACAGGGCGGTTAGGGGATGAAAGTACAGAGATGAAGACAAGAGTGGGTGTGATAGGATCCTCCAGAAAATACAGCAATTACAGGAAATTACTATCAAGAAGCAATTGGAAATTCTTATTAAGGAAGATGAACAGTACAATATCTATGGCTGAAGCCCCCCAAAAGAAAGAGACAGAGCTCTAACTTCCCAGTCCAGACAAAAGTCCCAAAAAGCCTAAGTCCCAAAAGCCTAATTTCTAACTCCCTTACACGTCTATTTATACTAGGGTACTCAGATCCTTCTTACAATTATACCCTTATTATTATTCTTATTTCTATTAATAGTCTGATAGGTAGGTCCTTATCAATACTCCCTCCCTAAACATCCACCTTGCCCTCAAGGTGGACGAAGGAGACAGCCAAGATCTTATGCTCCTTCTTCCTCTTTGCGCCTCTTCCTTCCCAATATCTCTCTGATTTTTGAACCAGGAGTCTCTGTACTTCATCCCCCCACCTCACAAATGTTTCTGCAGCCAAGGATAAGTTTAGTGAAATCTCCGTCCCTTCAGTGGCTTTAAAGCACTCAATAACGACAAATGTCTCTTTGTGCTGTGCTTTTCCATGTGCAGCAGTTATATGTCTTGATAGGGCTGCAACCCGTCCTTCTAGCAGATTCCACCTGAGTGATTCATCATTATGGATGCTAAGTTTTCTCAATAGTCTCCTAGATATGCATCCTCCAATCACACATGGATATGCACTCTCCACCACTTTAAATCCAGGATCCCATACATTGGCAGTTTCTTCAAGTAATCTCCTTGAAATTGTAGCCTCTGAATCTCCAGCTGCCACCCTTTCCAAATCAGCTTGAAGCATGAGAGCTTTCAACTCATCATCTCTTGACCATTTCAACTTCTGAAACAAGCTACCTTCCTTCCTAGCTATCAACAACTCCTTCCCTGTTCCCAGGTGTTCTCTCATGTTCACCTGAAGGGCAACCCATCGCCTCACCTCATATAGGCCTTGCATGGCCTTGGCCGCCCTTTCTTTTTGTTTCTGGGAATGCACTTTTTTAATAAGATGGGTTCGCGCGTTAACTGGCAGCTCATGGGCAGCACATCTCCAACTCCATACTCAATAGGTGGATGGTTAGAACTCCCCAGCTTAAGAAATACAGTAAACGATTTAGAAAATTCAGAATGAGCTGTGACCTTCCCTCCTGCAAGCATTGTCCCTGAAACATTCAGAATACATGCTCCAAACACTTCGCTGATGGTCATCCGAGACCCAACAGGTTGTGGATCCTTACCATCAAGAGAAAGTAACTGGACACAGTCTACTGGTGCTATTCCAACTAACAAGATCTTCAACTTTGGTGCATAACAGCTCGAATAGTTCTCTTGTCCATAATCCTCTGCAGAAACTGGTGGAGTGCGCAACTTAGTAATACAGTAGGCAGTGCCTTCACCTTCAACGACATGCGGCCTACCATTTGTTGTCACAATAGCTAAGAGCTGTTGAATAGTGTCAAAACCCAGGATAGATGCAGTGATTTTATCTCCAACGGAAGCCTGTCTACTAAGTTCAAGGGCATTTGCTACCCCACCTAATCTTCCCATCTCCAAAACACTAAGTAATAGGTTGGAATTTGTACTCGCATGATCAACACCACTTGATAATAAAACTCGCTCTCTATCATCCGCTGAAACTCCTCTTGAAATGGCCTCAGGGACACGACCAGGATTGGGATCTTTAACAAACATCAAACAAATGACAACTCCAACACCAGACTCATATCCCTCATATTCTGTAATATTCCCAGAAAATTCTCCTTCCAACCCATTCTGATTATCTATCATAGAAGTAACACCCTCACATCTGAAACAATCAAACTTGTTCAACGACTTCAGCCCTTCCAAACTAATGTTTAATATATGACAGTCCATCGTTACAAATTTTAAAACCTTAAGCCCGTTCCTCTCCTGTACAAACCCAAAATTCATTGTGGACTTCACCACACAAATATCATCATCATATACCTGCAGAATGTGAACTTCGCTATTTTCTGAAACTGTTGGTGCCACTTGCTTCAATTCAGTATGAATTTCCGGAATTATAGTCCCTGTTAATCTTTTTCCTGATGCGACTATGGTTATAAATTCTGAAACGAATAATTCATGTGGGCATGTTGACACTAGCACACGGGGAGATATGGCTTGCAATGAAATCTGCGAATCAAGAGACAAGTCTGGCGCAGGGTAAGAATATACTTGCGATAATGATAGAAGATGCTCGGTTAGCAAGGGCGTACTAAGAGAAACAGTTCGCGACTGCGAACTAGGGATTTCTACTCGAGTCGAAGCCAGAGGTCCGGAGGAAGTGTGTTGCGACTGCGATGGACCTTTGTTTTTCGAATTCATGCAGCGACGCACAGTCCTCGACCTTCCTCGCCGACGCTGTTGCCGCAGCTTGGGCTTCCCGTTCTCCAGGTTTGAAGACTTTTCCCTCTCCACTTTTTCGCGCTTCTCTTTCTCCGTTTTTTTTGCGTTTTTCTTTCTCCACATTTTTGCGCTTCTCTTTCACCACATTCTCGTGCTCAACCTTTTCTGCGAGTTTCCCCAATGTCCCGTGCAGATCCTTTCGCGATTCTTTCTGCGCCTTGGTGAGCGAACCAGAAGGAACAGTTCGCGATTGCGACATATGAGAAGTTCGCGATTTGGACTGCAATTCCGTCTGCGACTTTCGCGACTCCTTCAGCGACTTGTGGAGCGACTGCGATGGTTTATCAGAACGCCGATTGTTTCTTTGCAAGCTTAATTTGCGCCTCTCTTCACAAATCCGTCTGGTCTCTTCGTTCATCTTCTCTAAATTGCGCTCCCAATTTTCCATCGTTCCTACAGGTAACAAGATCATTTTGCTCTGATACCAATGATAGGATCCTCCAGAAAATACAGCAATTACAGGAAATTACTATCAAGAAACAATTGGAAATTCTTATTAAGGAAGATGAACAGTACAATATCTATGGCCGAAGCCCCCGATTGAGCCGAAGCCCCCCAAAAGAAAGAGACAGAGCTCTAAC